TCGTTCCTATAAATCTCGATGATAAGATTTTTAAATCAACTCAGTGTTGTTAGTGAGGTTAACTTGTCAAAAATGAAATTAAAAAAATCATATCTCAAGAACAAATTGAGATATCACCATGAAATAACAACCATTTTAAAGCAAATTTAATTAATATTTAATGTATCAAAAATTATTTCTTTATTTCTACTACTTTGGAAGTTATAATTTTTTTAATTCGCTTATGACAGGTTAGATTTATAAAATTTAATTTAAAAAAATCATATCTCAAAGACTAATTGAGATATTAAGGTGATTTAAAATCCATTTTGTAGTAAATTTAATCTAGTTTTAACACACCAAAAATAATTCCTTCGTTCCTATAAATCCCGGTGATGAGATTTTTAAATCACCTCAGTGTTGTTATTGAGGTTAACTTGTCAAAAATGAAATTAAAAAAATGATATCTCAAGAACGAATTGAGATATCACCATGAAATAAAAACCATTTTAAAGCAAATTTAATTAATGTTTAATGTACCAAAAATGATTCTTTTATTTCTACTAATTTGGAAGTTATGATTTTTTTAATTGACTTATGACAGGTTAGATTTATAAAATTTAATTTAAAACAATCATATCTCAAAGAAAGAAGTATTGGGTTTAGCCGTGTTGAGAGACGTGCGGCTAAACCCAATACTTTCTAGTTCTAGGTCTAGTGTTAGTTCTAGTTTTAGTTCAGTAAAAATATGTAACATAGTGATATTTTATGCTAACTAGCGCTATCTTCCGGTAGCGTAGAGAGCAAAAAAAGGAGAACCGAAAGTAAATGGAAAGAATGATAACCAGATTCGAAAAAATGAAAAATATATATACCAAAAATATAAATAATAAATAAATTTAATTACCTGAAATGAACGTTTAAGACACAAACCGTAACCCAAATCGAAGAAGTAACCAAAATCATCGTAAAGAGCAAATATTTTCCTAAAAGTGGAACAGCCAAAGAAGTTGGTGGGATAATTTCGGCTAATAAAAGGAAAAACACTGTCAAAGAAAGCAAAATTGAAACGCACAGAGTCATTTTTTCTCCAGAATCTGATGGAAGATAAAAAACTAGGACTGTTAAAAACGTTATTCCAACGCAGGGGATTATTAGATTTACGGTGTAAAATAACGTTTTTCTTCGCATTGTTATTTTAAATGTTATATCTACAACAAAAAAAGTTACAATAAAGAATTTGATACAAAAATGTTTAACCTGAAAATGGCTCGGGGCAACACGGGTAATATTCTTCATTTCGCGTCGCTGGGACTGCTAAAATATCCCATTCAACCGATAAATAAAATTCTGATAAATCAATACCGATGTTAACNGTCAAAAATGAAATTAAAAAAATCATATCTCAAGAACGAATTGAGATATCACCACGAAATAAAAACCATTTTAAAGCAAATTTAATTAATATTTAATGTATCAAAAATTATTTCTTTATTTCTACAAATTTGGAAGTTATGATTTTTTTAATTCACTTATGACAGGTTAGATTTATAAAATTTGATTTAAAACAATCATATCTCAAAGACTTATTGAGATATTAAGATGCTTTAAAGACCATTTTGTAATAAATTTTATCTAGTTTTAACACACCTAAAATAATTCCTTAGTTCCTATAAATCCCGGTGATGAGATTTTTAAATCAACTCAGTGTTGTTATTGAGGTTAACTTGTCAAAAATAAAATTTAAAAAAATCATATCTCAAGAACGAATTGAGATATCACCACGAAATAAAAACCATTTTAAAGCAAATTTAATTAATATTTAATGTATCAAAAATTATTTCTTTAATTCTACAAATTTGGAAGTTATGATTTTTTTAATTCATTCATGACAGGTTAGATTTATAAAATTTAATTTAAAAGAATCATATCTCAAAGACTAATTAAGATATTAAGATGCTTTAAAAACCATTTTGTAGTAAATTTAATCTAGTTTTAACACACCAAAAATAATTCCTTCGTTCCTATAAATCCCGGTGATGAGATTTTTAAATCAACTCAGTGTTGTTATTGAGGTTAACTTGTCAAAAATGAAATTAAAAAAATCATATCTCAAGAACGAATTGAGATATCACCATGAAATAAAAACCATTTTAAAGCAAATTTAATTAATGTTTAATGTACCAAAAATTATTTATTTATTTCTACTAATAAGGAAGTTATGATTTTTTTAATTCGCTTATGACAGGTTAGATTTATGAAATTTAATTTAAAAGAATCATATCTCAAAGATTAATTGAGATATTAAGGTGATTTAAAAGCCATTTTGTAGTAAATTTAATCTAGTTTTAACACACCAAAAATAATTCCTTCGTTCCTATAAATACCGGTGATAAGATTTTTAAATCAACTCAGTGTTGTTATTGAGGTTACCTTGTCAAAAATGAAATTAAAAAGATCATATCTCAAGAACGAATTCAGATATCACCACGAAATAAAAACCATTTTGAAGCAAATTTAATTACTATTTAATGTATCAAAAATTATTTCTATATTTCTACTAATTTGGAAGTTATGATTTTTTTAATTCGCTTATGACAGGTTAGATTTATAAAATTTAATTTAAAAGAATCATATCTCAAAGACTAATTGAGATATTAAGGTGATTTAAAATCCATTTTGTAGTAAATTTAATCTAGTTTTAACACACCAAAAATAATTCCTTCGTTCCTATAAATCCCGGTGATGAGATTTTTAAATCACCTCAGTGTTGTTATTGAGGTTAACTTGTCAAAAATGAAATTAAAAAAATGATATCTCAAGAACGAATTGAGATATCACCATGAAATAAAAACCATTTTAAAGCAAATTTAATTAATGTTTAATGTACCAAAAATGATTCTTTTATTTCTACTAATTTGGAAGTTATGATTTTTTTAATTGACTTATGACAGGTTAGATTTATAAAATTTAATTTAAAACAATCATATCTCAAAGAAAGAAGTATTGGGTTTAGCCGTGTTGAGAGACGTGCGGCTAAACCCAATACTTTCTAGTTCTAGGTCTAGTGTTAGTTCTAGTTTTAGTTCAATAAAAATATGTAACATAGTGATATTTTATGCTAACTAGCGCTATCTTCCGGTAGCGTAGAGAGCAAAAAAAGGAGAACCGAAAGTAAATGGAAAGAATGATAACCAGATTCGAAAAAATGAAAAATATATATACCAAAAATATAAATAATAAATAAATTTAATTACCTGAAATGAACGTTTAAGACACAAACCGTAACCCAAATCGAAGAAGTAACCAAAATCATCGTAAAGAGCAAATATTTTCCTAAAA